TTATGTGGTTACAGTGAGCTATGATCATGTGACTGTACTCCTTTGTCACCTGGGTGACAAAGACCCTGTCTTTATCAAAAAAGAAAAACAAATCTATACCAAAGCACATCATCATGAAATCAGAACAAAATGGAAAAAGAAGAGACTCCAATAGCTTCCAAAATTAAAACAATTTACATTTAAAAGATTAGGAGAAATAATAGGATTGAATTTTAAAACAGCAACCCATGAAGCTAGAACACAATAAGCTAATTACAGTGTTAACAGCGGGTAGAGGCTGGGCGTGGTGGCTCAAGCCTGTAATCCTAGCATTTTGGGAGGCCGTGGCGGGTAGACTGCCTGAGCTCAGGAGTTTGAGACCAGCCCGGGCAACACAGTGAAATCCCGTCTCTACTAAAATACAAAAAAATTAGCCAGGCGTGGCACTGTGCACCTGTAGTCCCAGCTACTCAGGAGGCTGAGGCAGGAGAACTGCTAGAACCAGGGAGGCAGAGGTTGCAGTAGGCTGAGATCGGGCCACTGCACTCCAGCCTGGGAGACAGAGCAAGACTCTGTCTCTAAAAAAAAATAAAAAATAAAAAGTGGGTAGAAAAAGGTTTTAGACATAACAGGACTTATCATGCATCCTTTCTCAGGAATTTCCTGGAGGACACACCCCCGTGAAGTAAACGAGGAAATTTCTTTTTTTAAATGGGGAAATTCCCCATAGAGTAAGTCTGCAAAAGGCCTGGAGAATGAATCCAGACGGGATAGCAATGCAGATGATCCAATGGGAAAAAGAAAAATGCATGATAGGTATATGGTAAATATGACAGAATATCTGCAAATAAATTAAGGATATGTACATAGAAAACTAAGCAATCTATTTTTAAAAAAGCAATCATTTATCCCAGCAGGGCAAGCTGCACAAAAAATTAAATACTGTCCCAGCACGTTGGGAGGCCAAGGTGGGTGGATCACCTGAGGTCAGGAGTTTGAGACCAGCCTGGCCAACATGGTGAAATCCAGTCTTTACTAAAAATACAAAAAATTAGCCAGGAATGGTGGCGGGTGCATGTAATCCCAGCTACTTAGGAGACTGAGGCGGGAGAATCTCTTGAACCCGGGAGGCGAAGGTTGCAGTGAGCTGAGATGATGCCACTGCACTCCAGCCAGGGCAACAGAGTGAGACTCCGTCTCAAAAAAAAAAAAAAAAATACTGTACATTATTTGGTTTTGAAGTACATAGACACTACATGGTTAAAATGTAAACAATGATTACTGATTCAACAAAAAATTATGATTTAACTACACTGGGACAATGTAGACAAATTAAGTTAATAAAAAACAAGAAATGAATAACAATGATAATTCAAGAAATTAGTGTAAAATTTTATTTTAAAATATGGTAATAAACACTAGAAGAATCAGCTACAGGTTTTAAAAGTGGTTCCATCTGAGAGAGAAATAGAGGTGTGGGGGAGTATAAGGGTGAAGAACAGATTATTTTTCCTTTGAAAAATATTCTAAATTAAAACACAAACAAGAGTTTCTAAGTTTTGAAAGTACATTGCATTCATTAAAAATTTAATTGGAATATTTGTTTTAACTTATCAGAACATATGCCATTTACATCCTTTAAATTTCCTTAATTTCTAATCAGAAAAAAAATCACCTCTATGCAGTTAGTCCACTTCTCATATACACTCATCAACTTCAGTTTCTTCCCCACTCCAAGCATGCTGACATTCACTACCCAGGAACACTTCTCAAGGGAAATAAGTTCCTGTTTATCCATTTATAACTTTCCCCTCAAAGTTCTTGTTCAAGGCCATTTTTTTTTAACATGAGTTTGAGTTTACTTAAAATACTGTAGAGTCTGAGAACTAATTAGTCCACACAGGGACTTTTTAAAAACAGTTTCCTAAGTAGTCTTGTAATCTTCTATAAACCAATTCATTCTGGACCTAGTTTACAAGGAAATCAATTTAAAATACTGTTTTCATCATCTCTCCTTTGCACAAGGACCTGATGATTCCCCTCTTCTAATGGGACTGCGTTCAAAGTCTTTTTGATATTTCTGAAGGCTACCAGTCTCTTGAAAGCTTCTTATCTCATGTTCTTAGACCTTAACTCCCTGAAGTGTACCTTCCACTTTTGTCAGGCAGATCTCTCTACCTCCTATTCACAACATGCTGTTGTTACTTTTATCTCTTATAAATGCTCTGTCCCCAAAGTTAAAAGTCTTCATCTAACTTTTTACTTATACTGAGGTCAAGCTCAAGTTCCACGACTCTGGAAGCTGCCCCTTTGGCCTGCACTGACCCATCTCTTCTTGCTTGAATTCACACTGTCACAAATGCTTGCTCCAAATGTAGTTTGTAGTTTCAAATGAATGTAGTTTCAAAACTGTGTTGGGTCACTATCATGGAGGTAGAGGTGTGGGAGTGGTCACTGTTTCATGCAATGCCAACCACAGAAAAGAAAAATAACTATTACTTGAACATTTAAAAGATTCAGATAACCAAATTTGAATTCTTTCCAAGTCAACCTTAAAAACTCACCATCTATCAGTCAATTAAACAAAAAAAATTAGAACACTGACTTTTTCCCCACTGCAAAATACGCCACTCTTCCACAAAACACAACACATGGCTAACACAATGAGACTACTGTGAGTAACTGCTCCCTCAAGATGAGGCACAGAACGAGACACATTCAAGAAGGGGTATGAGATTGCAAGGAAATAAAGGGTGTTTATATAGAAACAAACCTGGATCCACTTAAATTTATTTCTTTAAAGTCATTTTTAAACTTTGGTATTTTCACTATTTTTCCAAAAAAATCACTTCCTACTCATATCTCACAACTAGTGGTTTTGCATCCCAACATTACAGGTAAGGCTGACTTTAAAGACAATCCAATCAGCTACGGCATATCCATTATTACATTAATGACTAATGTTTTATCAAAATAATCATATTTGTACTTACTTGAAAGATACCTTTACTTTAGGTTTAAAATAGGGTGCATTCTGGTCTGCCAAAAAGACGATTAAGTCGTTTCCTAAAGGAAACAAATATATGATATTAGAAAAATGTTTCTTGGTAAGATACCCCATCAGTGGTTACAAGAAGGTTTCTGGGCACTGTTTTCAACAAGAAAACTTTTATTCTACTCCAGTTCATCTGCCCTCTCAAGGATAGTTCCACTAGGCCAATGGAGAGGCCTAACATTATATCACAAGTTCAATGTTCAAAGTAGCAGAGGAATAGAAAGGATGAACATGGGAAAAAGCAGCTGATCAAGAGAAACTGAAGCCAGTGGATTCTGCAAGGAGTCAGATTGGTTGACTTAAAAGAACCATATAAAGAAGATGCCTTATAACTATACTACATGTCAAGACTTGTCTTCCCCGAATCTAGCAATGCTGCCTCTTGTAAGGCTGTTTGGTTCATTACACAGATGCATCACACCAAAGATGCAGGGACTCCCATTGTAGATATCTGACAAGGACATAATTAAGCATGTGAGCATAAAACGCTGAATCCTCCAAGACCCTTCTCCTATTGGGCCATCCTCTAGAGGCTGACACATTCTTGGAGCTCAATTAGCACTCATTGAGACAGACTTTTGGAATTGTTTAATCAAACACAGGCCATCTTTAAAGTCAATGCTACTCTCTGTATCCAGTTTGGACAGAGTGGCAACAAGTTTTTGGCAGTACATTGCAAAATGAGGAGTCAAAAAGATTGGGAAAATATTCAGGGTCCGTAAGAGGCTCCTGCATCCTGGCAAGGGCCCCAAGAAGTCTGGTTCAGGATCCTGTCAGACAAGCTCTGAGTAGCTCTTCCTTCCTTCCTTCGTGGCATTGATCTTTAAGCAGCACCTACTTCTGTAGGTACTCAAGAACGCTAAGACCCCCTAATGCCCACTGTCAGCATTAAGATTTATAAAAAAGTTAGTTTAATGATGGTCAAAGGAAATAATTTCCAAGAACAAGTTAGCAAAGAAAGTAGAGATTTGGAACACTAAAGTGATGACCAAGGTGAGGAAAGTGTACACGAAAGAACAGGCAGCTCAAGAGAGAAATTTCTGTAGTTTGAGACTGCTTTCCCAAGGAGGCATTGGTTTTATCAGTGGTCCCTGCAAAATGCTTGTGTGAGCTGTTGAGTGTTTACGCCCTTGGAAGGGTACATTTGCTTCAAAGAAAGCTATGGCCTTGACAAAGGGGGTGCGGGGGGCGAATTAGGTAGGTGGGGAGGCAAGGAGAAGCCCCCTATGAGAAGACATTGTCAAGCTGCACCTTTTCCTGTTCATCAACGGGGAAGGAAGACTGAAGCAAAATAGAATGGAATGAGAGGGCCTTAGGAGCGAACGTTGAGGCAAGCTACAAAGATTCCTAAGAATCAGGAAGCACTTTGGAAGGCAGGTGATTCCATAGGGAGGAGGGGGAAGGGTGACTGGGAGAAGGCTGCAGACTTCTTAGGCAAAAAACTGGGCTGCTGTCAGGGGGTAGGTCAAACTGTAGGGTGGTTGGGTCAGAACTTGGGGTTGGAAAGGGTGGTGCAAAAGGGCAAACTGTCAATAATGCTAAAGGGAAGGCCACAGGGCTGGGAGAGAAAGGCCAGGAAATGCTAAAGGACCGGCCACTGGGCAATGGGTTTAGGGAACACCGGGAGGGGCACACGGACAGCGAACAGAGGGAGGGCCCGGCAAGCACTGACTTTCCCGCAGCACGAAGAGGTCCGTCTGCTTGTCGGAGTTGAGGTCCCCGAAAGCCGCAAGGGTGCCCCAGGCCTCGGCCCCAAAGAGCTCGGCCGTGACGTTGTGCAGCGCCCGCGCTGGGACCGGCCCGACTCCCAGTAGTGCAAGCCCCGTGAGGAGCGGCGACAGGAGCGCCCAGGAGCTCGGCAGCCGGCCCGCCGCCGCCATGGCAGCCCCTCGGCCCCCGCCCGCCGGCCCGCGCCGCGCTTGACGGCAGCCGTAAAGCACCGCGTTACCGGCCGAGAGAGTGACTAGCAGCCCCGGGACGCGTAAGAGCCGCTGCCGGATCCTTTTTCTCTCTCCCACTAGGGCTGCCCTTCCGACGCTAAAAAGATAGTGGAGCTAGGGTGAAAGCCGCCCTCACGCTCACTTCCGGCAGGCGCGCCTCCCGACAGTGTCGTGCGGGGGGCGTGGCCGAGCGGGCATTGCTGACAGGCGGCCCCGGGGGCGGTGGCCAAGGCGGCGGCGGGAGCGCGATGGCGGGGGCGGCGGGGCTCACGGCCGAAGTGAGCTGGAAGGTCTTGGAGCGAAGAGCTCGGACCAAGCGCTCAGGTTTGGCTGGCTGGGGCGCCGCCCCCCTCCCCGAGTACCTGGGGTGGTGCTTCTCCTCAAGCACCTTGGTGGGAGGCAGGCGGGGGCCCTGGGAATGAACCTGTGCCCCGAGTTCTCCCTTAGAAACAGTTGGCGGCCCTGACCTTGCTTCTGATATCTTCATCCACCTCTAAAAATTAGGTGGTGGTGCCTACTCCATTGTGTGTGTGCCCCCGACTCTATTCAACTTATGATCCCCACTCGGAAAGTAGGCAGCGGTCCGGACTTCCCTTAGAGTCTTCTAACTTAAAAATCTGACGGCGGCACATTCCTGGGAAAGGGAATGTGTCCTCCCTGTGAATGTTCTCCCCAAAAGTCAGATAGCTTAATCAGATCAAGTCAGATGTAACTACGATCGGGCTGCAGAAAGCCGGCGTCTGCTCCTTGCCTTATGTCTTATATTCCCTTTTACATTCCCACAGGTTCTAAGCAGTAGACCTGTCATCTGTCTAGCAGAAATTGAAGGAGACTGGGCCTCAGATCTTGAAGTGCATAGTTAGGGCTCAGAAGGAAAAGGGGCTCCTTAAGTGGTTCCAGGTTGTGTGGTTACCAAGCCAGAAAGCGTAGAGGTCAGAAGGTGCCTTGCAGGCAGTTTTAACAGTTTCAAGTGTCCCGAACTGACTTGTTCAAACTGCAAGTCATGACTTGTGGCATTATCAGCACTTGTGGCTGATGACTCCTAAAAGCTGGGATTAAAACTTCCCGTATTCCTGGCTGGCTGGATATAATCTTGAGCAAAAAGCATGTACTTAAACAGGAAAGGTGGAAGGCAGAATACAGGTTTTCAACTAAGGAGCTTCCCTTTTGAAGAACTGCATCATTGGGGGGGCGGTAGTGTGAAAGGCCTTAGCTAGGAAAATTAACTTTGCACTTGCATTGATATTAAATTATTTTCGGCCGGATGCGGTGGCTCATGCCTGTAGTCCCAGCACTTTGGGAGGCCGAGGTGGGCGGATCACCTCAGGTCAGGAGTTCGAGACCAGCCTGGCCAATCTGGTAAAACCCCATCTCTACTAAAAATACAAAGCTTAGCTGGGCGTGGTGGCGGGCACCTGTAACCCCAACTACTCGGGAGTCTGAGGCAGGAGAATTGCTTGAACCTGGGAGGCAGAGGCTGCAGTGAGTGGAGGTCACACCACTGCACTCCAGCCTGGGTGACAGAGGGAGACTCCGTTTCAAAAAAAAAAAAAAAGGAAAAAAAGAAATTATTTTCTCAGCTAATATGTCCCCCTTATGTTTTGGGCTTTTCCCATTTATGAAGTTCTTAGTTGTCTGTTGTGCACATTTTTTTTTTTTTAATTTGGAGAAAGTAAATCTAATTTCTGAAAATCTAATTTCAGAAATCATACACCCAACATTCTGTTTTTTATACCTTACAAAAAGTTGAGCTTTATTTACTCAGAGTTATAGTAAAATTACCAACTGTGAAGTATGAGGTAATTTTTTCAAAAAGTAGTCCTTAGTACTACTAAAAATCAATAAAGTGACTTGGAATAGTTAGATGTATTTGTTTCACACTTTTTCTTAAATTGTTTTTGAGTCATATAGAAATACTGAGTTGGCTACTAACAATGTGGCTATCTGGATATAAAAGTGTTATTGGATTGGTTATATCTAAACAGAGAGTAACCGGAGTTTTCTTACAGGGACCTGAGTACTGCCCCCAACATATATTTTTGCAAGATTTCTCTTTTCCTTTCATAAGCACGTAGAGTTTATTTTCTTCGTTAGTCTTTGTTTCCTCTGAAATGCATGCCATTAACAGTAAGCTTTGAAAACCTTACTTCTCTTTTCTTAGCTGAGAAAAAAAATTTTAGTGTTAACTGTTGTTGAATGCAGTTATGTAAATCCACTTTTATATGCAAAGTGCATAGTATCAATGTTGAATGTTCCTGTATGTTTACATCCTAGTAGTAAAAAGAGATACCACTTGAATTCATTACTCCAAATTAGTAGTTAAATTTGAGGTTTCAGATTCTTATAAGTATATGAAGTACAGATGATAAAGTTAGTAACTCGAGTTAAAAACTTCCTGTGTCATTAAAAGCAATCAACTTGATTCTGTTTGTTACTTTTAGAAGAATATATAAATGGAGCTTTGTTAGAAACCGACTAACCTGCCTGGAGCATAGAGTCCTCCTCACAGAGTTCTGAGCATTGTTACATAGTAGCATAATTACTTCACTGCACAATAGAGGATACTACTTTTATGTAATATTTAATAAGTGGATATTATATAGTTCCTGTCTCATCCATATGAGCAAGTGTAATTTATCAAACCAAAGAAAATCACATATTCAAGTCATAAAAGAGAAAATAAAATTGTAATGATCCTCAGTTACTGCCTTCGTTGTGCACTGCATCATGTTAATAACTGCTCACACTGCTTTCAATTAATTTAACACTGATTGCTTCTAACCTTTACTAAACAGTTTTAAAATTGCTGTAGCTTAGCCTGTGACGCTTATGATTAGAGCCAACAATTTGAAATGGCCTGCTCACCTGATGCAGTCGTCTCTTCGTCTTCTACTTTCTTAAGGTCTGGTAAGTGTTGTAGACCCCAAAAGGGTCACTTGGTAATTTTAAATACCTTTGTTTCTGACGGTTGATTTCACTATAAGATATCATTATGTCTTTATTTCTTGTTTGGTGGGCCCAGGCCTGAGTACCAGGCTGGTGTTAGGTTTAACTTTACATTGTGTTTTGAATGTGGCCTATTGTGTTCTTCTCATGTGGGGTTTGAAAAGGACAGAAAGTGGAGTGCCTGCCCTGATACTTGCAAGCTGTTTGAGCAGAGGCAGTTCCTCAGTGTCTGGGAGCTCCCATTGTCAAATGTGCACATAGTGTATTTCTTAAATGATTTTTGTCTTCTTGCCACAAAGGAATTACAAATTAGGAATCTTTGGTCAACATCCCACTTATCTATTCTTCATCAGCTTACTGTGAAGCAGGTTATTAGTATATACGTTTTCATAGACAGGAAGCGACTTAACCCAGGGAATATTTTAAGGACATGTGCTTTGGCCTTTATCCTGTGCCATCCTGGTGTAAGGGCTGGAACAGATGTTGGCACAATGGCTCTTTGACCGTTGTGTTGATGCACTCCTTTGAGAGCTGGATGAAAGCTATGGAATTGCTCTCCAGATGTGTGCACAGGATTTTGAAAACAATCTGAGTGATTCATGGACCCAGACATGATTACCTATGCATTCCCATTAGGAACTAGGTCTTTGGATGTATTCAGTCTCACTTTAGGGAAGAAGACACACATTTCGTTAGGTGGCCACATAGCTGAAATGAAAACTGAAACATTTAGAGCACTTTTCTGTAGTTATGGCTTAACTTGGGCCATTTAAAACCTATTATGTGCTAGAAAACCCGGAGAAGGCTGCTGGTAAGAGGCTACTTTTTCTATAATGCCTTTTAAGCAGAATATTTCAAGCCTCAGGACTCACGAACAGGCAAATGTGAGATGAGCACCCCCAAACACAGTGAAAACTCCTTGGCTTCACCATAGCCTTTCAGAAGTGTTTCTCCCTCTTCATTCATTTTCATTTATATTTCAAGTCCTGTTCTGGCAAGATAGAGGAGGAAAATCTTGAAGAAAATAAATAAGAAATAGCTTAAGGAAGAATCAAACAGGAGAAAACAAAAGCTCTTTAAGGAACTAAAATGATTTCTATCTCTGGGTGTCATCTGCTAAATGAGAAAATATTATATGTAACAATGCCAATTGATTTCTGATTATTTGAACTAAAAGAACAGGAGGACATATATCTCTAGACTCTGCTTTCTTTCATTATAAGCACCGAGCTCTGTTTTCCATCTTGGCTTTTCTACTAAGAATTAAAGTGGTATTAGGCACTAGCAGAGTCATTCAGTAGTAATGGGGAAATAGAATGTTTAAAGACAGCTTTTATGCATCAACAGTCCTGAAAATTTCTAAACCCAAGAACTGTGCTTTAACATTACATAGAGTATTTGAAGGCATATACAAGAAGCTTTTCCAGTACTGTATCATCAAATTGAAATAGAATGCACCAAGAAACAGACTAGAAAAATATCAAACTTTAGTGTTATAATCCATTTTAAAGAATGATTCTTTATAAATTACTTTCAGTGTTGACACTTTTTTGGGAGTTCATCTAACCAAAACTTACTAAAACTATAAAGACACACTTAAAATTTGTATCTGTTAAAATAATAAGTACCATTCCTGCTGGTGTTTAGGCTTAACTTTGCATTGTGTTTTGAATATGGTCTGTCGTGTTTGCGTTTAAGTACTCTGAGTGGTTTGCATTTATAATTTCTTATTTAGAAATACTCCATTTATATTGGAAATGATTTGCTTTCCCCTATTGTAGTTCTTTAGACATTATCTTTTAGGCATATGTTTTATTGTGCGATTTCATTTGACAATTATTTTAAAGCATGTCCTTGCTTCACAGCTGAGCTTTTCATTGGTACTTTGGCCAGAAACTATCCAGTATTGCCAAACGTGAAAGCCAGTAGTATCTTGATTTTGAAAAATTCATTTTCAATGTACCTGCATTGTTTTATGTATTTTAACACTTCATATTCCTTTTGGATATGTTTCTTCTTTTGGTTTTTTTCTTTGTTTCTCCTCTTTATGGAATTTAGCGTGAGTCCTATATTTCTGTGTGTGCATACTTGAGCTGTGCTCTGACTGCTAATGTACTAGTATTTGCTGCGGTTGAAAGAAATTTGTTTTGACTGCTTAAACTGAAAGAGGGATCTAGATATTCAGGTTTTTCTTTAAAGACCTTTGAAGTAAAATGTACAAGACCATGAATTTATAAAGAAATTCAACAGCCAAAATAAGTTAAATAATTATTAGAGAAGGAATGTAACATTCAATACCTTAGATTGCTTCCATTTCTCATGTGGCCACTACGGTTATATTGAGTTAGCAGAGTTGGTCAGCTGTAGCAATCACCTTGGCAATACAGTTCAATTACTTGGAATAATGGTTATAGCATATTGTGATGTGGTAAGAAACAGCTTGGCATTTTTGCTTTTATTCTTAAATGACAAAGATAATTTAAGAGATTATTCTTTTTTATAATGCCTCATGAGCTTATCTACCTTGGCTCCCTAAGTTTAGCAGGCAGCTGATAAGTGAGCTTCAACATAGTACTCGAGTCTTTTCATTTACTTGTTTCTCTTTATGTTCTTTGATTAACTTTCTTTTGTTAATTTAATTTGATGGGCAAATCAGTACCTGTTAAAATTTTATTGTATATTCTGGGCAAAACAAAACTTTGAATTGTATATGCCTGACATTGTGTTTTTAAGGAATTTATATAGCAGCCTTGTTTTCAGTTAACTAATCTAACCGTCAACTAGTCAAAAAGATGATTCTTGTGATTGGAAGAGAACATAGGCCCAAGTCTCCTGGACTCTTGTGGGTTGTGGCCTCCTTTAAGAGCCGAATGAAAGGGTGTACATTTGGTGTTCACCTACACCTGGGTCTGATTCAGGCTCTATTGTTTACTACCTGTATGATCCTGAGGAAGCTATATCTTTTTGAGATTCAGCTTCCTGCTTTGTAAAAATGATGTTAATAAAACCTACCTGGAGAGATTATTGTGAAGATCAAACAAGATGTTATATGCAAAACACCTGATATTTAGTAACTGCTCAATAAATTTTAGTTATCTTTCCTAAAAATATGTGTCTTTTACAATATTGCTGATGTGTAGTAAAGACTAATGACTTATATACAAAAAATATGATTTCTTATCTCTCTCTCTCATTTTGATATGTATGCTCAAAATAGCCATTTTAAGAAAATCTGTCATGCTTAAATACAACTAGCTTGAATCAGATTACTCAGAATTTAATATTAATAGAGCTGTGTTATTTAATATGGCCCATTCCATTTTGTAAATTTAGCTCTTATTTTACTCTATGTCCATCTTATTTTTGTCAGTAATCACTATAACTCTAAAGAAATTGTTTCTGACAATTTCCATGGAAACTCCTATTAGATAGCAGGTAGAGCAGTTGTTATTTTATGTGTACTTAAAAGATATTTTTGTCTCAGACATGCACTGGGCTCCCTTCATGTAGGATGGAATTCTCAGAAGCACTCCTTGATTGTATCCTACTTGGAACTCTGACCTCTTACTAGTACCTGCCCTGTAATCTTATAAGATTTAGGAAGTAGAGGCCATATCATATGACTTAACCCCCTTGGCATGAATCTCATTGACCCTCAGGCTTACTCTCTTTCTGTGTCATATTGCCCAGCAAAAATGATGCTTCACATTTCATAAGTGAAGTGGTTTCATGAAGAGCGCAGCAGCTTGTCTCACTGCTTTAGATTATCACCAGTACTCACATTGTGCATTCTAAAAGCTATTTTCCTCATGCTGTTTTATCTGCAGTGTCTTATGAAATCAGAGAAAGAGTAAGAGGAACTCCCTAGAATTCCTGATTCTGATCCGGGTACCTATGCACATTTCCAAATGGATATATGATGGGCATTTCAAATGTAACCGAAACAAAACAGAACTCTTATTTTCTACTCTTATTCTTATCCCAATCATGTTCTTCCTTAAATATACTTTATTTCATTAAACTAAACCATTATTCTTCCAGTTACTCAAGCTAAAAATACAGAGGTTATTCCTCTCTTTCCTTCAACCTTTTTATTCAGTTAATCTGTAAAACCTTTCTACTCTACCTCTAAAACACATACCAAATCTGTTTTTCTCCAGCTGTACTCCTACCTCCCTAGTCCACTTTTATCTCTGGTCTACACTACAGAAATAGCCTGATTTCCTGTCTCCTCATTCCTACCTCACTACAGTCTGTTCTCTGCCCAGCAGTGAGATAGGTCTTTAAAAATATAAGTCAGCTCATGTTACTTTCCTGCTTAAAGCCCTCCCATTGCATCTGTCATTATCTTAGCATAAAATCTACATTCCCAGGCTCACACCTATAATCCCAGCACTGTGGGAGGCTGAGGCGGGTGGGTTACCTGAGGTCACAAGTTTGAGATCAGCCTGGCCAACATGGTGAAACCCTGTCTCTACTAATAATACAAAAAATTAGCCAGGTATGGTGGCGTGTGCCTGTAATCTCAGCTACTCAGGAAGCTGAGGCAGGAGAATCGCTTGAACCCAGGAGGCGGAGGTTGCAGTGAGCTGAGATTGCGCCATTGCATTCCAGCCTAGGCAACAAGAAGAAACTCTGTCTCAAAAAATAAAATAAAATAAAATAACTAACTAACTAAATAATAAATTCTACATTCCCTTCCCTTGAATGACAAAGTCCCAGGTGACATGGCTTTTGCCTGCCCCTCTGACCTCCTCACAGAATGCTCCTCTTCTTCTCCACTGCTATCATTGGGTCCATAAGATGCAATCTCATTTGCACTTTAGGCTCTCTGTAGTGTAGCTATTTAGGCTCTCTGTAATAGCTATTTTCTCTGCCTGGAAAGCTTTCTGTACTGCTCTTAGGTAGCTTGTTCCTTCTGGTTGAGTTTTAGGTTATCGTCTTAAATGTAGCCTCCTTAG